GTTGAATTCTGCTGTAGCCGGTGATAGGGGGGTGCAGACGGTTGTTTGCAATTACCAATTCTTTCCATGGACATGATTAATCAAACCGAGCTTGCAGCTTATTTAATTTTATCGTTTTGATTCGTTTTTCGCTTTTTGTATTTTTTCTCTATGGTTGATGTTATAAAATATGGTTGTGATATCGTAATAAAGGAGTCAAACGATCTGCAAGGCGTAGAGTAAGTTATTGTTATACAAAGTAACAATGTATGGATACTCAAAAGGAACTTGAAGTCAATATAAACTGACTTTATAAATATTAACTTAGCTTGCATCCAATCAAATATTATTGATGCACATGCATGTATGTAAACATACACATGCTTGAACCAAAGCTTTTTTCAAAAAATCATGTTTTATATGGAAATTAAATTTTAATAAAACAATGAAATTTTAAATTATAGCTGGGTTTGATTTTTATATTCAACATCGAAGCCTGTTGTATGTCTTATTTTCAATTTTATAACAGAGTGATCGGGTTTATAGCACCTGGTATCTGTGATCGGATCAATCGTTGCTTACTTGCATTAACCCTTCGCATTGTTCGGACAAGCTAACTTGGTATCGCTTTTAGTCTTGGTAAAGACAGGTTCTTACGATAACACTATTACATAATTGTTGCAATAATTTAAAGCCCATACTACATTTGCATAGTTAATGTTTTTCGTGATTGTGACAATTCTTTTTGGCAACAAAGAGAAAGAAAGCGTTACTTCATATACCAGCTTACGTTGTGATTGTTTTGTCTTTTTCCTTAGTAAGCAAAGAAGAAGAAAAGGATATATCTATTCTCTCAATTTGTTATTTAAAAAGGCACAGTGTTTATGCAAAGGTACATATTAGGAATGGTTAGTAAAATTCACTTTCAATGTTTATAAAGTGGCAATAAGACCATATGCTTTGTCCTAGAAGAAACAATACTTTGTAGACTTTTATGAATCATTGTCAGATTAAAAACCGTCTATTGAACTTGCCTGAACTGTAATATATGACAGAAAAAATGTAGCTATCAGCAACAAGAGGGGATTCTCTTTCACGAGATACATGGTAAATGCATTTTCACCTCTCTCGTTGCGACAAGATACGCATTCACATTTGATTAGTTTTCCAGTCGTAGTCTTCATACTTTAAGATTCTTATAGGTGTGAATTCTATCATCTTCAAATGCTGAATCAATACAAAACATCCATTGCTTCTCCGACGATGCAATTTGAATGATCTCTCAAATTCTTGATGCCTCGTTGACTACTGTGATATTTTACTTTTAAAACAAAATTATATATGCAAATTCACCTTAACTTGCTTAAAGAAAGTCATTTGTCTTTGCTACAACAAGATACAAAATGAGTTGCCAAAAGTGATGGATTAATGAATTGTGATTGACAACAAAAAAAGTAAAGGGAAATGAAATAGAATCTGCTGAGCTTGATAAATTGTAACATTAAATGAATGTATAAAATAGAATCAGATTTATGCTTTGCGCAAAACAAAATATGCAGTTAAAAATTCTGCTTTAAAAGTTTGCCATATATTGATTTTCGATTTTCTTTGTTAAGACTTATTCCCGACATTTATAATGGAGTGGAGTTCCAACTTTATCGTCTGCGCCATAATTATGATTATGAATAATAAGACGTTACATACAGCAGTTATTATGTTAATTGCACTAGTCTGGTCTGTGATTTACTTATAGTTAATGTTGTAGACGTGTTTGTTCTTGTAAAGACTGACTTTGAGAAAATGATATTAATTTTCAAAGCTTTTAGAATTTATACATAAATGCCAAGGGTTTTGGTTAAAGTTCGGACATACTGACATTTTGAATACATTTCTTTTAATGTTAAAAGATTTTTTCACTTTTCTCATATCTCGGTCGGTTAGAAATTCATTTCAAATTGAGTTTAATTCTCCTAATGATAGGGTTTTAACTGTAGGTATTTGACTCATTATTGTCAAGTCAAAGTTAAAAATGAAAAATATATATATATTTAGCGAGAGCATATCTCGGTTATTCATTTCAAAATGAGTTACTTTTTCATTATCATAGAGTTTTTATTGTAGATATTTTACTCATAATTATCAAATCAAATTGAAGTTAAAAAAGAAAGATATATTGAGCTAGGATAGATATAACAAAATATATATATACATAAGCATGACTTTCTCTTCCGTTAACAAATACATGCGTTTGATATTATGACTTATGTGATTTTTTTAAATAGCTATATGCTGAATGGTGTAAATTGTTGTGGTTTGAGGTTAAGGAGGCACAATCAACATAATCTGACTGACATGTTTTCGAACATTACTTCATTTTTCAGTTTGTATACGAATATTTTACTTTATCTACAAGCTATAACGTTACCATACCTGTTTCACACAAATAACAAAGTATAAGTTAGTTTGAATAAGTATAAGTATAGTTAAAGTTACTTTTTTTAGATATATGAAGTTAAAACACAATAAATGATAGTAATAAATTGACATTTGTAGACTTGACGGAAACTTATACCATTGAAATAAGATATAATTTTGTAATAAATCAACTGAAATTCTTTATGTCGTTTTATATGAATTAAGATAACGTTTCATCAACTTTCCATGTTATTACGATGAATCATATCCTCTTTAAATATAACTCGAAATTATTCATGTGTTTCACGTGCTATTTATGTTACCAACTTTCACTTTTTCTTACCCATAAACACTATGCAATCGAAGTACGAATTCAGTTTCCAAACTTTAACAAATTTCTACTGTAATGGAAATGTGATAGAAATAAACAATATTCAACTTCCAGCATTCAATTTTAGATTTTCCAGTTTTTAATTTTGGAAATATCAAGATGGAAATTTTACGTAGTGTGACATTTAAGCCATGCTCTATACTGATAACAAAGGCTCCCTAACAAGCCTGCAACATTTTCTTTTCTGTCGTTCTTACAGGATTTTGTTTTATTATATTATTATTATTATTATTATTATTATTATTATTATTTAACGTTTAGTGAGTTAACGGTTAAGTAATTGTCCAGTTGAGTTGTGTCCGATATTTTGTGCCTAGGCTGATGTGTATGATTCAAAGGGTCAACTACCTTATTATTTCATTTATGTCATTAGAAAACACTCAATTACGGGATGAAAGAAGAAATAATACAATCACCATTCTAATATAATTATGTTTCTACGTAGCTAAACGTTTTACTGTTTTTACATATTCTCGTATTTAGCCTTTTCGTGAGTATAATTCCTCTTTTAAAACGCTTGCCATAGGGTAAAGATTTGATGGAAACGACGGCAAAAATTGGTATGAAATGACTCTGAATGTCAACATTTCAATTTAAATTCCATTTATTTTACATTGCACGATACAGTAGACATTTTCATTCGTTCCTTGTGGCGTGTTATGACAAAATTTGATAAAAACACAAAACGTTACATTCAGAGCAATATGCATTCAGGTAGATTAAACTGAATTCTATTAAAACCCTCTTTCAATGTTTGATATAGACCTTTCAAAGAAACTTGTAATTATAATTGTTAATATATTTTTATCTCTGTAATATCAAACCAAGTATAAAAGAGTACTTAAGAATATTAAAGCTGAAACAATAAAGTGTGTTTTTAAAATGAACTTTAGTAAACTATCTACATTCGTTTTGATGTGGTCCTTTTCACCGATTATCGCAATTGCAAGTCTTTTTCTCCAATCTGATATTTGGAACGCTTTTGTATCAAATTGTGATATCTGAACATGATTCACGTTTGCATCTTTCCAGACCAGAACAGTTAAAGCATGCTTACGTAACATAGGTGGTTCTACTCAGAAGCCCGCTCTTACACAAAGGAGCACATGAGGTCTTCCTCCGTCAGAAAAGCTGGAAAATCATTGTATGACCTATAAATTGTCGGTGTAGCATACAGTATAAACTCAAGAAAACATTTTTATAACCAGAGCTTCATTAAAGTGAATGTATTTAGTACAAAGGTCAAAAATATATTCGACAATTACATGTAACTGCATGAATTGACAGTTTATTTCTAAAGCATAACTTAATGATGTTGTCTTTTGTCATTTTAAAGTTAATATTACAGTAATGACATCCGTCCTTTAGTTTACATTTTCATATCCTAAATAAACTGATAAAAATTGTTAGGTTTTTCTTTTACTTAAATATACCAAAATCGTATTCTTCTTTCTTTCAACGACACTTGTTCAGGTGATTGATTAAAACGTATACATATACCTGTAAATACATTTGTATCAAACTTATACAACTTGTACACATACATCATTTATGTGTTCTTCATGAAAATAAATGTTTGTTTATAAACTGATAATAAAAAATGAGATAAATTACTTTGATTCCACTATAAGAGATTCTTACTTCCACTATGAGAGATTCTTATTTATCACCACCTATGTAAGCTTTATATCTCACTGTCTAGGACTGACGTATACTGAAATAAATATCTGACTTGTGATAGCATAAAATCTATTTATAGTGCATATGACGTTATTATTAGGGCGTTTTAAAGGAAAAAAATATGTAACAATACATTGTTTAGATTTAACCAAACTGCATTTATTAAAAGCATATTAAGGCTAATTATTATAATGATGATTATTTGTATTATTATAATGAGGGTGATGATGAAGGTGATAAGAAAAAGGGGATGAGAAGGAGAATAGTAATGATGATTGTGATGACGATGGTGCTAATATTACTCACATAACATGGTGCAGTATGAAGAAAGATGCGTCAAACGAGAAAATACCAGTCATATGTCTTAGGCCATTTATCATCTACAGGAAACAAATATGTCATAAAAAATTTACCTTCACTTCAAAACAACATCTGAAACACACAAAGACTGCTTTCCCCAAACAAACACGTTCACTTGAAAACAGTGTTAACATATCTAGCGTAACTGTAAATATTGTCTTTCTCTGTTTTGTAGATTTCTCTCCGACTCCACCTTCTAACAACAATAATCAAAACGCCAGCAGTAATGGTAATTCCAGCGGAGGTGGATCCAGACGACTTAGGACTGCTTACACAAACACGCAGCTTCTTGAGCTCGAAAAAGAGTTCCATTTTAACAAGTACCTATGTCGACCAAGGCGTATTGAGATAGCGGCGTCCCTTGACCTTACTGAACGCCAGGTCAAGGTCTGGTTCCAGAACAGAAGGATGAAATACAAAAGACAAACACAGGTAGCAAGTTATTTCATTTTGTAGAAATTAAAAAAAAAACATAAACTAGGTCGCAATGCTTATAAGATTATATCCATATATTAAGTAACATGACCTACCTAAGTTTATCAACAAATAGGTGAAACTTGTAAAATTACAAACTTTGTAGTCAATTGATACATTACGTATTCTGGGGTTTTTTTTAAAGAAAGTCAAATGTTATATAGTTAGATAACAACTAATGAGCTTCTTATGACTCTCAATCAATTCAACCATTAAGATATTAAAATTTCACTGTTCATTGTAGTTACTCTATAAATGACCTACTGAAGTTTGTAAACTAGGTCAAATGTGGATACAATGTAGTGATGTAACAAACACTGTTTTAGAGCCTTTTCATATGTAGTAATTTTATACATTGCCGACTTGGGTTCATAATCTATGTTAATAAAAAAACTACATAATAAAAAGTAGTTGCATCACATGTAGTAAGCATATATTACTATAGTTTATAAACTAACATATTTTGTAAGATTACAAACACTTTTGATAAGGACTTGGCCATGAAGTTAAAGCTAGATCTACCTAAGTTTATAGATAAGTTCAAACACAAATTATAAACATGTTACAACGCTTTATGAGAATATACGGTTAGGTTATATGTACTTAATACGCATGTACCGTTTACAAAGTCGCATACACTTAATTACATGTAGTTCAAGTGATCAATTTCATAACCTCATTCGTTAAAACAAAAACTAAAACTTTAGAAACTATTTCATTGGACCAAAAACATGTAGTAAAATTATGCTTAGTTTTATGGACTATTTATAACACGAGAAAGTCGTTAAATGCAAGAGTTAAAGAAACAAATTGTGTGGAAAGTATTGTTTTTAAGTTTTGAAATTAGTCAAATGTTCAATTATAAGTAAACACTACCAAACATGTACTAAGTTTACATTTTATTATCAGCTTTATATGTCAGTTTAAACACAAGCTGCCGGCATTAGTTCACAGACAGTTTTGCTTATAAGAACATATATACATAAATGAATTTGCACGTTTCTGTAAGTTCTTACAAACATTTTTTTCACCATATCAGTTGTAAATTATAATAACATAAATACAGTCAGCTCTATTTTCAGTTTTAACAAACGTTATATAACTTGACAAACTAGTTTTAACAAGTTCACATACGTTCAAATACGATGATCATTTAAACTTTTCTTCGCAAGAACGAAAATATGTCATCAATTAACACTAACTGATTTTAATTTATCTCAAAATGCAAACAGATGCATTTAATTTAGTTATTTTGAATTACTTTTCTACAAGATCTTATTGAAACTTTATAAAATGCTCCAAATATTCATTGAAAACTCATGATCAAAATCGCGTTCTCTATTTTGAGCACAGTCATGCGTTTTTTGCTTTTCTTTCCCTTTTTCTGATTTTTGTTCATTTGTGATAAATGCATTTAAAGATTATGTTTACTTTGTTGATATTTATGCTGCAATGGCAATTAAAACACACTTATTCATTCTTGCAAAAATGAAAAGACGCCCGGTCCTTAAAATTGGAGCATCACATTTACCTTGAAATGTGACAAACGCAACATTTTAGATTTGAATAAATGTTTTCAAATATTTCCTATGCATTTTATCTGGTTTTTAATGTATACATTTTAATTTCGAGGACAAAAAGATATGATGATAATAATTCAAGGAGTATTACATGATATTTGTTAACTCCAGCCAAAGTTCTTGAACAAGGACCATCCTGAAGACCGTCGGTTCTGTTTTATTAAGTGTGATCGCGAGATGTACAAAAACTCTTAAGCCCCATAGCACCGTTTTGAGCGTAAATCAATGTTAAACACTTATTGCATATAATCAAATGGTACCAAAGAACTAGAAAAATACAAAATAAGCATTAAGATAAGATACGAGTATGCAATTTTACGTATTTATGTTATTTTCGGTGCTCTTGGGGGATTTATTTTTTTTAGAATTGTGACAAATTTGTATTCTTTCATTTTCTTAAATCTTTGCAATTAAACTTTATATTAAATGACCATCCAAGAATGTCACTATAGATTTTGGCTTTCCGCTTGATTGTCCCTCAGTATAAGGCCATTATTTAAGATCTCTTTGACTTCTGGAGGTTTTGGTAAAATGTCTTGAAGAATGTTCTATTGCTTTAGAAACAATTTTGACAGAGGACATTCTCCTCTCTTGGATAAACAATATAACCTCAACTGTTCTAATTCAGGCGACGAAAATCTGGTCTCCTTTTGTTTAAATAAGAAAAAGTAGATGCATTTAAGTTGTCAAGTATTTCCCTAAATTAATCTTTATTACTGCATAATTATCTGTATAATGTTTAATTTCAAGAAGAAATGTTTTAATTCAAGGGGCGGCTACTCTTTTTTATCAAAAGTTGAATTTGATAGACTTGCATTATAAAATAATAATAAAATAATTTTGTTTTCAGAAAATTTTAACGTTTGATTGTCTAAACAAAATTATATTTGAAAATTGTTTGTTACAAATAATGTGAAAATAAAATGTAACCTGTTCTATAAATTCACATTAATAGTCTTGAATTATTTATTTTCTTTTAGTTTTTTTTAAATAACCAACATTTAAACTATTTAAAGATTTAAAAGTTTCATATATATGTTTTTATGGGTTTTTTTTTTTCTAAGCTGAAATACCAAAATCAAAAAATCTTCTGAAATTGCCTTATATTTTTTAAATTTTATTAATAATTTTGAGTAAAACACGCACGAGCGGGATAAAAAAAGCACCGCGTCAATTTGAAACTCCTTCTTATGATATACCAATAAATATAAGCAATAAAGATAGGTCCCTTAAAGCCCAAATAACCATAAAATCCCTATCTGATGAATCAAAAAATTCATATAGCTGTTAAATTTTCATGAAGTAATTTGAAAATTAAGACGCAAAAACAGACAGATACCGACATGTTTTATTCTGAGTATTCGCATAAGAACTTCGGGATTAGATCTAAATGAGTTTTAGTGAAATTGGTTTATTTAGAATAGATAGGTTTTTTACTTCAAGGACTCGTATGATAATTGATTATAAAATGGATTAAGTTCGATACGATCTAGGCAATATCACTCAAGTGCGCCGGAATGCATTTGATTTTTATGGTAGTAATTTGAAAAGTGGGTAAAAAAGAGCATATATCATAAACATTACCCATAATGCATCCGTGGACATAAATAACTTGGTTAACAAACCAGATTGCTCTAAAATTATTCATAAATTCTCGTCTGCGAATAGAAAATATTGCTATGATAACTTCACGAACATCTATGAAAGGGGCTCTTTGCCATGTATTTCGTTTTCCTGTAATGCTACTATGTGTCACACTAAAATATATATGATACGTTCTTTCTCTATTGAGATAAAACGGAAATCTCCACACTATCTTGTAAAATTAGATATATGTTTTTTTTAATCATTGAAAAGTTAATTTTATTTTCAATAAAGTGAATTTCTTAATCGCGGAGGTCATTTTTATTTCCATTTGGATTGATCGATAACAAGTTTTTACAAATATTTTGACATCGAAAAATTGATAAATTTAGACTATATGATTAAAATTAAGGCATTTCGATTATTAATTTTATCTTAGTAAATTTGCCTTTTGTACATAAAATCGAAATACAAAATTGCACATTTTATATAAAATTTAATAGAAAATTACTTGTATTTGTTTTGTCTTGTCTTTAATTTTCTCACTATATATAAATAATTTTTCTTCGACAAAACAAAAAAATATGGAAAATACGAATACAGGAAATTATATCATAACAGACACGCCCACATCAAATTTTAAAACAAATCTGGAAAAGTAATCAAATAAACTATGTCTATCATCAAATTCCACTTGCATTTCCATCAACAACATGTAACTTAACCCTACATTGATAGATTTCTACAAAACTAGGTCACTCGTCAAAACAACAGTGATGATTTTGTACATTATTGTCGACTGCTGATCTTTTTATTTTATTTATTTATTTCACTTTGAATGTGCGACAAAGTACCGTAAATTGATAGTAAATTTATATCATCAAAATGTTAAGAAAATTATTTCTTAATTAACCCACTGGGATATCTTACGCATTTAAACACTAAACAAAATGGCTATTTTTTTTCCGTTTTCACTCTTGAAAAATACTTTATACTCTTGTAAAACTTAAAAGTAACTGGGTAAAGGCATATAGGCAAAATATATTACAATAACTTTGAAAAAAATATTTGTAACAATGTTATATTTTGTTTAGTTACAGAGACAGAAATCTGAAGCAAGACTTGGTTCAAACAGTTCTTTCCCGGGTAGTCCAAGTTCCTTTGATGATGAGCCAATGGACGACATGGAGGGAAGAATAAAGAGTGACTTTGACAGACCAAGTATCCCTCATGATGGATCTCTAGAAAACGCAGGTAGCGAAAATGGCTTATTAGAAATAGGTCAAGCAAATGTCAAAAGAGAACATAGCATAGGCAATGTATTTGATGATGAAAAATTGAAGGAAGATATGGATGACATGAAAAGAATTGCTGGAGTAAGAGATACAAGTCGAAATGAAAGAAATGATTCGGTCACTTCATATGAAGATAGTACATCGCCTAGTTCAAATAGGTCAAGCAATAATCTGGTCACTGGTGGACCTAAACAATCTCCAATTATGGCATCTATGATGCAAACTCCAGATGGGGTATCCCCATTATCATCCCCGGTCGCGAAATCAGATGTTAAATCTTGTGCGAATTTGGACACGGATAATTCTCAAGTGACACAATTAGGCTCTGACACCGGTCAACGTACTTCCGTTAGTTCCCCAGTTTCAAACAGCACTGCGCAGTTGCAAATGATGCAGCAAAGTCATGTAAACAAATTCCAGTCAGCGATAAGTTCTGAAATGACTCAATGTGGATCTAATCAGGGAATGTCTATGGCAAAGCCACGCATGTCTCCCCGTGAGAATATGCCTAATACAACTGACAGCTTTTATCAAACCCCCGGTTGTGAAACAAATTTCCCAGGTGGCGCCAATCAGTATTCTGGCAGAGGAATGGTCAATGGCTGCTATACTTCTATGGACAATTATACTCATAGTTTTCCCGGTGGACCACAAGTCTCGAGATCTTCAAAAGACAATTTACCAGAAACTTTTGGACATCAACAAATTTCTGGTCACAAATCTAATCAGTTATCTCCGTTGGAAAAACTTAGCGCGTTACAAAACCAACAGAAACGATATTCATACGCAACGGAAAATAGTCCCCGTAGTGACAATGGATATAAAAGTGGAAATTTTAACCCCCAATATCGTTACACACCCAATTTTGACATGAATTCGAACACCTATCACCCAGCTAGAGGGTATAGTGGGTACAATAATAGGTTACATGGTGATAATATAGATTTACAGGGTTCTATGTCAATGGGGGAATTCGGCGGCAATAACCCTCAATTAAAACCTAGTTCTTTCATATCGGGTCAGTTAAATGCCTATCAAAATAGTGTTTACTATGATGGTAATTATGGGGTAGGATACAACAGCGGTGTCAACCGTACAATGCCTTCTACGTTATTATCACAACAGAACTATTTAACCTCAACACCGCCACAGCATGGATCCAATATGGCGGAAAATAACGGGAATTTTGAACAATACAACGGCCCAGATGGACAATTTAATTCATCAAATTCGGAATTTAGTTCAATTTTTGCTGAATATTACAACTATTCACAGCAAGGGTTCTCCACTTGATACTTCTAATAAAAATGTCAACTATTTTAACGTATTCGGTATATGTAACAGTCAGTGTCCGTGAATAGTCCGTAAACAAAATAATTATTAGCCCACCTTTCAAAATTTATGTATTTTTACTGGTAGTTTTTATATTTGTCTGTAACTTGTGGTTTTTTCTTATCATTGTGCAAGTACAATATATGTTGTGACAAAAAAATAAGTTAGGAAAAAATACAAATATCTAATTGATATTTTTATTACATCATTTAAACTAAAATAATTATGTTTATTACTTTATTTTAATTTATTTTCAAATAAATTGTTCTGTTATGTTGTATTATTTTTAACAGATTTAAGTTTTTTTTTTTTCAAATTTCTGATTCCATTTTTAAAATGTATTCATGTTACACTGAATTTCATCTTTTCCCAAAAATTAGTATACATAATATGGGCAACATTAATGCAAAAAACCGACATAATTTGCATTGAAACAAAATTACCATATTTGACCTATTTTAGTTTAGATGTATGTCTTGCATTTGTGTTCAGTTTTTAATTTCTTGAAGAAACCAAGCTAATTTTATTCCAGCTTTACTTGAAATTGCATCAAGGTCTAGAGACGTTTATTCTAAAAAAGCATACATATTTCTAAAAATCACATGTAATAACACTTATAGACAAAGTAACATTATGTAGACGCTTAGCGAAATTAAAGAATTAATACACTTGAAATATTGTTTTAAAAAAGCCAAAAAAAAAAAAAACACAACAACAAACAACACATCCTTTTCGGAACTGGTGGTTAGGTTTTACTTTGGTGTAATCAGGGCTACATTTAATTTTCGACAAAATAATTCAACAATCTATTTATTTAATTATAGGAATTCATTCTCTGATGTATTTTTTCAAGTTAAAGTGTCATGTTATTTAGGGTGTAAAAATAAAATTCAATTAATCAAAACAGATTTTCAAATTCGCAGCCCTAAATAATATTTTATGAAGTGATAAGTAGAGGTTTGAGAATCTAAAGTAACATGATTTAAAATGACATGCACTCCATTTCGTCTAAAATGAAAGTCTGTTACATTGATATGTAATTAATATTCATATTTATGAAATTAAAAAAAAAAAATGCCATGAATGCAAGCAAGCAACAGAAAAATGTAATTGACAAAAGAGGAAATATTTTTGGGGATATTGTTTGAATAAGCGTCCAAAGTTCGTTTAATAGTCAGGTATTAACTTTAAATTATGGTTAATAAGCCATATTTTATTGAAATAATTGTCTGTCTGTCTGTTAATTTTGAATTGGCCCTCTTTTCATTTTTTGAAAAAAGTCTTAAAATATAATATTTCAATGTCTCATTTTTTTTCTTCTTGAATAAGTTTAAATAAAAAGGTTGTGTCGCTAGATTTTTTCATTTTTCGACTTTATATTTATTTATTGTTTTTATCCTTAATTTTTGATTTATTTTTTTAACTGAAAGAAAAATTATTCTTAAAATGCTCGAAGCGGATTAATCGATGGGAAATATCTTTGATGTTTTCTCTCGTGCTCTGTAAATGATGGTTATACCCGTGCTCCCAAACATTAATATTTGATATATCAATAAATATGCATTAAAATAGCTCTAGAAAATACAACAACCCCGAATGCTTTGACAATCCGTACAACCTCAAATTCCCAGAGGTATCTTACGTTTGTATTTTTTTTAATTTACTGTTGCATATTCTAATGATATGTTTTGTTTTAGTTTGGGTAAATTATTTATTATTTTACTGATGAAAATCGGTATACTATTATCTAGATGTGTTAAATGGAAACGTTCAATAAAAATTAAATACGTATGAATATTAATGTTTTCTTGTATTTATCTTGCTCTTATTTCATGGTTTGAAAGTTAACGGTAGACAACTTTCACTCATATCGTGTTAGACAGACATGGATTGTGCCCCTTTACATAACATAAGGTTTTTCTAATATTTTCTTGAAACTAACATCAATGTCCGGCCATTTTCTTGTTTTTATTAAAGAACTGAATATTTAGAATGATGTTTGGGATTGTTTGAAGAAAAAAGAAATATCTGACTCCTTCAGAACAGGAATGGAATTTCCATGTACAAGGAAAGGATTTAGAAAAAAGAATCAACAAGGGAAACATATCTTAAGATATCTTTCGAAAGCCCAAACCAATAAAAAATCGGTTACATATTATCTAATAAAATTTTTTTAATAAAAAAAAAGACTTAAAAAATAAGTGATATAATTACTGTTTGGTTTATTGATAAAAAGTAAGTACTGTTGCTCTTTGTGAAGTCTTTTTATACGTGTCTAAGGAAAAATTATTTACGTTTGATGCAACGTCATGTTATTTCTATCTAGATATGGTCCCTCTATTGATATGCCGCAATTTAATAAATCAGTAATAGAATATGTTCCGAATTATATGGAATGAAACCTAGCCTTAACCTATTTAATAACCATTTCTAAAGTTCCCGATTCGTAAAAGTTCAATTTTCGTATAAACTATATTTCAAGACTGATCGTAAGTAAGTTACTTTTATTGTTATACATGTATACAAATTTAACTGTCGCACGTCCATATCGAACAGAAATTTAAATAAAAAAGAAATATCTTGAAAAATTACGAAGTGAACTACTTTTTGAAAGAGACCAATATGATTAAAAGTAGTTTATAAGTATTATGGCAATTATATAGCCGGTTAAAGAAAGCATTACTGATAAAAAGTGTTTTCAATTATTATTGTCTCACATCGCATCTTATTAAACGGATGAGATAAAATAGAGAAGAGCAAAATCCTTAAAGAAAGCCAACACGACAAAATTGAAAATTTTGCAGGGTCGGTTTGATTCCGCCTGCTACTTCCATACTCCACTAGCACCGGTTAAATCAGAACTCAATATTTTACAACTATAAACTATTTGGGACAGAATGAAGTCGTAAAGATCCAAGACACATGTTTCATGTTATACATTTTAGAACTTCGTATCAACCTGATGAAATGATTTAGTTTCAGCTTTGATAATTATTATAATAATGATTGAAAAAAAAAGAAGAAAACTTTATATACAACAATCATGACTGAAAATTAAAAGACAAACAAAGATCAAGGTTTTTAGACGATCGAGTATACTTGTACTTTGAAATAACTAAACTGTGCTCCAAAAGTCTAGAAACCTAAAAATTTGAAAGTCTGACATAGATTGACTGGGATGATTAATACAGAAAAACATGCAAAATATTATAAAAAAACTCTCAGAAATAATCTGAAATAGATTTTCTGTGCTATTTTAGTCTGATAGTCTGATTTGACTTAAAAACTTTCAAATGCTTTTCATTTTAAGTTATTTTGCACAATAAAAATGACTATTCTGCAAAAAAATAAAACGGAGTAAGCGAATGATCTGAAATTGTGCACACAAGTTATCGCTTCAAGTCTCAAATCTCGAGAAATTATTTCTGTCCTTTTGTGTTTAAAAAAATCTCAGTGGAATCTGTTTAAAACAGAACAGAGTGAAGTATAAAGCTTGTGGGAGAAAATATATACCGATGTTGTACAACATCTGTCGGAAAAATCATGTGTATATGTAACATTTTAAAGATAAACTATACTCAAATTTGATATTAGTATTTGAAAATATTGATAATTGCTACACAGTCTTTTTGTAAATATACAATAAACATATTTTGACTTCACACAAAATAGAAATGTTATGCTTTAAATCCTACACTCTTAAGTTGACATGTTATGAATACATTATGTCTTAAAACACACACACAAAAAAAACAGGCATTTTTTACGAAAGGACCAGCTTTACTTGCCTTTGATCAGGAATACAGATTCCCATACATAGTGTGTACGTTTATTTATTTAAAAATGACATATTCAGTAAGAATTTTATAGATTTCAATAATTTGTACTCAAAGATACACATAGTATATCTCAAATAAGTGCACCAAAGATTCACACAGATTCAATCAAAATATCAAACAGTGAAAATACGTTACACTTGCATGTTTACACCAGTTTAATTCCTTTTTCATATTTACTTGAATAATATGAATATATGAAAATAACGTTTCTATAGTTTTCTTCCTATGTTTATATTTGAAACATTTGTTTCATATTACATAAAGCATTCATATTATATAATTATAAAAATAAAGCAATCAAATATTGAAAATGATATAGCAAAAAATCGGCATATTCCGTTACTGCACATGTAAATATTTTTATATCTATTTCTGTAGATCAATATTTTCGGCCTTTTTCCAGATTATAACTGAATCGTTATAAAATTATGATTGCAGTTTTTGTACTGCCAAATAGAACACGCAACATGTATTAAAGTAAAATGCACATTAACTCTAATTAAGATAAGAAATAGAAATGATCATAAAAAGGTTCAATAACCATTTTTTTATATACTTCTTCCAAATATATTGATGCGTTTTGCTAGAAATCTCCATCAGAATAATTATTTCGCATCTATTTTTTTAATGGTTAAACAATGAGGACACAGAATTTAAAATATTTTACGTTCGGATATGAAAAGTGCAGCGATTGAATTAAGGGAACATACAAATACATCCAATAGTTCAAAACATTTCATTTTAATAAAAAAAGTTGTGCCCAAATTTTAAATTTACATGTCCATGAATAAGCGAATTTCTTAATTCTATTCTTGATCTTTAGAAATTGTCAAATGCTTTCTGACACGGAATATTTTATTACCTTGAAAAAGTATATATTAATAATATGTTTAAAAAAAAACGGAGTAAAAACCTAAAATGTTCCTGTATTTCGTAAAACATAACTCCAACTGCTCCATGGTTATTACAACAATTGAAAAAAAAATTTAATATCTCGAGTAATAGCAAAACCTTTCCTCAATTTGTGTTTTATGTCATACCGATATTATCCTAGTTTTAGAGAACACTCATGCAAATATTAAAAAAAAACAACCAAAAAAAAAAACAAAAACAAACAAAAAAAAAAAAAATAAGAAACAAAAACAAAATCATTTCATTTTAAAAGAAATCAGAATTTATTTTAGTAAACTCTGTTCAGACACAATTCTTATATGTACATACCACGCAATGTTTTAAAATGATCGAATTAAAGAAATCTTAAGAATAATAAGTACAAAACTGCTTACACTTCAACTCAAGATATGAAAATAACATTAACAAACATTAGAAACAATTTAAAAAGGGCATATTTTTGTAATTTCATCAAACAAAGTCACTTCAGACTGGGATTGACTACAACATTTTTTATTTTATTTGAAAACTTTCCACATTTATACATAGCCGAATATAGATCCATGCCATGTTTTAAAAGCCAGTTTATTCCTCGTTCGAACATGATTTTTTTTAATATGTCACATAAATTTAAGAGTTTCTATGCAAGTGATTTAATAACTATCTGTGTTTAGAATGCACTAGAAATAATTGTATAATCGAATGTGTTTTGGAATTTGCAACATGTATCACATACAGAATATACGGTATTTTTTCGTATGCTAACAATTATTTTTTCGCAGGAGAAAAGAAAATCGTCTCATTTATAAATTCGTAAAAACGATCAATTCAAGAAAACGAACGTCACTTTAGAATGCAGGGATGTTACAAAACAAACATCCTGAAAAAAGTCAGCAAGAATGGTTTTGATGAAAATAAAAATAAAAGAAAACCTGTAATGTTTACACTTATGTTTTTAAAACTTCTCAATTCAACCTATAACAGAAGACAGCTTGGTTATTAAGAGGATTTTTTTTGTTACCTTGGTATGTAAAATATGCGAACACGAAGAAATATATTGTTGTTATTTAAACATTTGGAATAACAGAAACACAATGTGGTCTGCTTGCAACTAGTAAGTCATTTTACTGAATCGACAACATTACGATCTTTGAATTAAACAATCAAGCTTACGGTATCAAGTGAAAAATCTACTTTTTTGGATATCATGAATCTATGTGGGGTTTTACTCTGAATTGTAACATGGCTATGTTTAGTTTTTATTGATTCATATAACATTGTCATCCATGTTATTTATATAAAAAAAGCACAAAATCAAATATACAAACTAAGATTCGCATTGTAATATTTTAAGGAAAAAAAACAAATATTTTCAACGATGAAATGTCTAAACAAATATGAAAAGATTTTTTAAAATAATGTATTAAAATTATAAATCTTGCCAAAATAGCTACATTTAATTTATGAAAATGCTTCTTTAAACGGTGCTATGGGGGTCATAGGCAATAGAACGAATTATATCACGTTCTGCGTGAAACAGGTTTCAACAAAAAAAAAGCAATATTACATAATTATTTTGCTGTAGCGGGTGACCTTTTAGGTTCTCGTTTTACCATTTCAATTAAAACAGGTACCTATAGACCATCTGTTTAACAAAAGTGACAAAGCAACTCTATATGATAACAGAGTATACAAAGGTAAGTTCTGGCGTTTAATCAGTTTCAGAAAATTAGCTCTTGATGTTTCAAATCATCATTCACATACTTATTTTGTTTTGTTTTTAAATTGCTTCTTAAAGCAATCTTAATTTGATATGAAAACATATTTCCTTACGTATTTCTTACGTGTCATTTTGAGCTTAAGATCTGTTGGCGGTATTTATTTTCTTAAATTGTTACGGTTCAAATCTTAGTTTGTATCAAAGGTTAATATATAAGATAATGACGACCTCATTTTATTAAATATACGAGTATGAAGCGGCATTTTGCAAAATGGAAACAAGTGAAACTTGCATCGCTTCCAGCTACATAACTGAAGAGAACTTTAATGGGTAAAAATACCAAAATA